AATTATAATTAAATTGCAAATTTACGACAGCACATTTTTTACTCGCCAAGGGATTTGAAGTCGATATATACTGCATGTATTTTTACGAATACAAATTGTAATTTTACAACTTGCGTCAAGGAAAATTTTCCTGTAAACCTACCTACTTTTTTTTTCACAGTGAGTACCTTCTCGTACTTTCTATTGACGAAGCCGTGAAAGTTGTCGACCAACGACCTTTTCTCGAAAACTTGGTATCGGCCCGGTGGTTTCGAGAGCGGAATCAGATCACCACCACGCTGTCTGCAGGGCGAACGTGAGAGTGATGTCGGGTCCCACGGTCACGGTGCGAGTCAGCGAGGCACCTTGTACTAATCGCATTACGGTGATCTGATTCGATATCATTATCGGAGCATATGATATGTCAGACTGAAACAACCAGGGGAAATGGAGCTTTACCAGGGAGCGTGGAAGCGAGCTCGAATGGAAAAGTCCATCGCGATGGAAGGGGTGGCAAATAAAATAAAAACAACAGCAGCAGAAACGGTCAAAATATTGCGGCCAAATGGGATTACTCGGTGCGGAAACTAGTCTTTATTGCCGGGTCGCTCTGGTTCTTCATCTGACCACATACGTGTGGTCAGGCAAACAGCCCGTCCGGTCGTGCGGGTCCGACCATGTGCCCGTCCAGCAGTCCGGGGGGGGACCGCGGGGGGCGCGCGGCGCGGCGCACCGGCCCGGGCGCACACGGCCGGGGGAGGTCAAGGGTGGCTCAGCGGCAGCGGGCGCAGCGGACCGCGGCTCAAAACACCCGCAGTTGTAATCCCCGCGACGTGCGGAGCGGGTGCACCGCGAGCCGCACCGCAGTAGCACCTGACTCACGAGCACCCTGCCGCCGGGCCCTCCCTCCCGGGCGGCACTGCGCTGCACCCTGCGGCCTCCTTTTTGACGCGCACGGCCATCCCTATCGCCGCGAGCAGCGCAGCGCACCGCGCAACCGACTCGCGCCCGTTCCGCTCGCCCTGCTGCTGGGCCTTCCCCCCGCCGCCCCGCACTGCTCCGGTCCGCACCCTCCTCCGGGGCACCGCGGCGGGGCACCCCTCGCCGCCAGCGCACCGCGACTTACTCACGCCCGTGATAAGCTCACGCAAACGCCCGCTGTTACGCGCCCTGCCGCGGGCCGTCCCCGCCGCTGCACTTGCTCCGCACCCTCGGGCACCCCCCAGCTCCTCTGGAGAATCACCGCGCACGCAGCAGCGATGAGCGGTGCCGCCGCGGCAGGGAAGGGGAAGACCAGCATCACCGGCCGGCAGCAGCGGGGTGATTCAATGCCACTCATTTCCTGCGCAGGGCCGGACTTGGCGCTCTGCCACAGCATCCCAGAGATGACGACGACACCGCGCACCGGCACCGGCACCGGCAGCAGCAGCAGCCACGGCGGCGGTACGAGCACCGGCAGCAGGCCCGCCGTGAGGGAGCTGGACGTGGTAAGTGCCTCTGCATGTGCAGACACCCGATAGTGAGTGACCCACCATAGCAGTAAGGCTATTACGTGCCACCTCGTCGCGTAGTTTTATTTGTAGTCCGTAGCCGCCTGCCTGCCTGCCTCGGCACCTCGGCAGCCACCTAGTGGAAAGGGGAAATGCAGCGCGCCTATTGGTTCGTTTGTGCGGCTGCGGCGAGCGGCGGCGAGACTGTCCACTGTGACGTGTAGTGGCTGTGTGACGTAGAAGTGTGGGGAGCGTACGGAGGACCAATCGCCGCGCTGCATTTCCCCTTTGCACTAGGTGGCTGCCGAGGTGCCGAGGCTGGCAGGCCGGACTACAAATAAAACTACGCGACGAGGTGGCACGTAATAGCCTTACAGGCTGCGCATCGGCCGACCGGCCGTCTGGCAGTGATAACGCAATGGCACTGCCAGCGGCCAGTGCGATCTCTATGGCGAGAGGTGCTCCATTATCCGCTCCAGGAGGTCCATGACCAGGTCCATGACCTCCAGATCGCGCGGCAAGGCTCACGGCTGCAGACGGCGGCGCTGTCCAGTCCAGTCCCCTCTTCTGTTCGCTCATGCTCATGACCCCCCCGTTGCTGCTGCAGGTGGCCCGCTGGCTGTGGCTGGCCTGGCGGCTCGTGCTGTTCTGCGCGCTGCTCAGCTCCCCGACGCCCCTGTCCCCGCCCGGCGGCCTGCTCCGGCTGACGCACGCCCTGCGCCAGCTGCGGCGCGCCGTGCCCACCCTGGACAGCCAGCGCGCCGAGACGCCCTACCCGTTCCGGCCCGAGGACGGCGAGCTGCTGCGGCCCGAGTACCAGGCCAAGTACGGCGTGCGCGGCCAGGGCCTCGTCGAGCAGCTGGGCGGCCAGTACCTCGGCCCCAAGGACTACCTGACGCCGCCGGCGCCCCCGGGCACGGCCTGAGCAGCAGAGCAGCAGCCGGAGCAAATGTTGTTATTATTTAGTTTGTTAAAAAGTGTTACCCAGTGAATAACTACCCCCACACTACCCCGGTGATATATCCGTCCCCTAGGCTGTACGAAACCTGTGTCAATCACTTGTATGATCTCAAATATATCTACTTCTATAAGAAAAATAAGTTAAAGTGCTGGAAGAATTATTACCCCTCCTCTTCATTCGTCGATATTTTTCACAGGCTTGAGAGGGGAGTGGGGTCCAGCGTAAAGCGCAGCCGCTGGCGTGAACGAGCGGAGTAACTGAGTAACTCCACTAGTGGAGGTGCGCGCCCTAACCTTACGTTGGCACATATGTTGAATGACATCTTCTTTATAAATGGCCATATTATCACAACAGCATAATCCAAATGTATGACAACTCCAAAAAAATGTTTTTCAACAATACAAAACCAAAGTATGGGCCAAGAGGGTTAGTGGGCCTCTACCTCCATGCCGCATATCGGAGCATCCACCACACATATTTTGTTTTAAGTTAGATAAAAACAACATACCTAATAGCGGCTGAAGAATGACCAGGATGCATAGTCTTGCAAGAAAAGATTTCAACGACACAGAGGATTCTTGCAAAAATGTTCTTTTCGGTAACATTTATTGATTGGCTCAAAACTTTGTGTTTGCCCGCCAAACACTGGGGCGACACTAGCGCCACAGTGGACAAAGCTCAAACTAATGTACTATTGCCAATCTCGCATATCAAAAATCTGACAATTTCTTCAAGCATTAACACCCAGAGACAGGATAGCTGTAACGAATCTAAATATAAAAACTCAAAAACTAGTTGGTTTGTAAAAGTTCTATTTACAGAGGAGAAATCAAAACAACATTAATTATGGTGCTTGTTTTTTTAGTGTTGTGGTGGACTTTTCCTATTATTTAGCCGCCACACAAATCTTTCATACTAAAGTGGGAGTTTCTCATCTGTGTGGTCCTTTTTTTTGTTTTTGTTGTGTTGTGGTAGTTGTATGGGTATCTGTGTCGTCTACAGTTTCTCGCGTGTAAATATTCTGTTTTATCAGCTGTTGCATCTGAAATAAGCAGGTCAACCCTCGTGTTCGGGTTGAACGTGGGACAGAGAAACTTCATTTTCTTGATTAATGATGCAAGATGACACAAATGGTGAATCTTCATTTGAGTTTGTTGAACGAAAAATTGAAGGCATCTCTCTAGTGGATAACGCAATGAGGCAAGGTAGGTTTGAATGGGAAAAGTTAATTGAATGTCTGGCACTTGTTTACAATTATTTTTATAGCTGATGCAATGGCACAATTTTCAAGGCGCACCATTTTAGTTTTATAATTTTCCGTGACTTTTTGTGTTTAGTTATCATTGTGTGTGGTTAATTTTTGAAGAACCGATAAATTTTGAAAACATTATTGTTTATTTGATATTGTTACAGAAGTGCCACTTGGTGCTTCTCTTATACCCCCATCAATGGCTACTCAAGGACTTGGAGGTGTGGAACCGCCGTCTGCCTTACCCAGTTTTATTGAACCATCTCCTCGACCATCTATAGACAATACGACTGCAGCCACCTCTGCAACCTCAGGAACCAGTACAGCATCTTCAGATCCCTCCTCTTACAACCCAGCTGCAAGCGCATTTTACCCCAAAACGTTCAGGTATGAAAGTATTATCTTATAGCTTACTTTTGATAAATAATGTAAATGAAAAGAAAAGAATTTTGAAAAATTGTGTATGCTAATTAGCTCGTTTTGCTTTTCAATATCCTATTGACAGCCCAGTCATCCCTGCAAGCAAAGGCAGTGATGCATCTCTTAGCACAGTGGATAGCAATCTCGAGACAGATCCTAATGCTGGAGTGAGCAGCCAACTACTTGGATGGGTTAAGGGAGCTGTTGGTGGCAGTGCAGGCATATTGTCTCGTGTCACAGAAAAAGCCAAAAGTTCTATGAACTCAATGATAACAACACTTGATCCTCAAATGAAAGAATTCATATGTATGTGCAGTAAACAGCAGTTACAATTCAAATTGTTAAATTTGTCTCAGTCCAGTATTTAATTTAAATTGGTGTTTTCAGATTCTGGAGGTGCTGTTGATATAGTTGTTGCCTCCGATAAAGAAATTAAAATTAGTCCAGTCCGTGAGGCATTCCAATCAGTATTTGGCAAAGCTACAGTGACGTAAGTGTTTTCATGACTCTTAGTATGCTCCCTTCTAAGCAAGTAACAAAGTTTCTCTCTTGAGCTGACAATGTTTTTCTCTATGCAGTGGTCTACAGGTCAATACTTCGACAGTTGCTGCTGCACAGCCTGTAGGTTTTGCTGCAGGTGTAAAGGCTGCTGAGGAAAGAATATCAGCTGTGCGGAGTGCACACAACATCCCACCCGAACAAACTGTTCTTGCTGTTGAGAACTTTTTGGTTGAGATTGGAGAGAATAAGTAAGACCTTATTGTGCTCTTCATTACTCTTGTTTTTGTATCCACCCATTTTTATTTTATGAACTACTTTTTCAGGTGGTTTGATGTTGGGGTTTTGATTTTGAGTGATCCAGCTCGAGAAATCACTCTGGAGACTTTTACACAACTAACACCAGTTCCTGCAGCTGTTGTGTCCTTAGCGCAAGAGGACACACCTGCAGAATATCCTCTGAGATGGTCAGGCTTGAGTGTAACTGTGGGCAGTATAATGGCTAATAATCTGCAAGTGCCTCATTCCGAGTGGCACCAAGCTCTTACTGGTGTTTCTCGTCGTGAAATGATTCTTCTTGCTGCCAAAATTTTGGCAGGCTTATACAAGAGCAGTGTTGGTCCTATCCTGTAATATTCTTGTTGGCCTTCTCTTGCTCAGAATGAATAGACCTTTCCTCTAAAAAAAAAAAAAAGTTAGATATATTTACTATCTAGAGAAAGATGCTATGTAAACTTTTTTCCCAAATGTACTGACTTGTACTTAATAATGTTACAAACTTTGTGATGTTATTTTGTTCAAGCCCTTGTTGTGATCTGATTCACTTGTTACAAAAATGTTAATAATAAATTATCTGTGAAATTAGATTTTTTTTTTTCGGGAAATTATATGGTACTGCAACTTATTAGATTGAAGGTATCTACATATGTATTTTCTGTCTAACTAGAAAAACACAGTTTTTCATCTGGGATCATCACACAGGGTGGCAGAAAGCCATTGAAAGTCGGTGCCAAGAAAATTACGTGTTCTTGTTAAAATTTCATACTATACCATTTCCATGCTTGTTACACTCATGTAAACTACTCAATGTATTATATGTATCAAACAGTTCTTAAATTTATTTTTGACCATGTTCTGTAGTGTTTGAAAAAATTTGTCTATGTTCTTTTTTTTTATTTAAAAATAATAGAGTGAGTGCAGCTTGAAAAAATAGTTAGTTCATGGCATATGCATACTTGAACTCATTTCACATTGATATTAATTTCAACCTGATTTAGGCCCCAATATTGACCAATGTTGAAATATTTACGGGTCTTGTGAGACTACATGTTTATGATGTGTGACGTTTTTAACTTGCACTCATTCTAAAGATTCAGATGTGATAAAGATAATGTATGTATTGTACCTAATTGTTCTGTATAGTCGTAACTTTTTACTGACATAATCATCTACTTGTTCTGTTGCATCGTGTATTTCAACGCTCTTTGAATTACATGGACTCAATCATTCGTATTTTGGTTCATTTCAAAATCGCCTTCGTATATTTAGATCTAGAAGTCACACAGGAATGGCCGTGAATAGAAAAAATGCCTTAGCGATGTTTTTTTTTCTTCTTTACTTTA